AACCTTGACTGAAAATTCGAGGTCGGATTTTTTCAAACCCCCGGAGACCTGATGTAGCACAACTAAGCTCGTGTGTTACACTTTGCGTCGTTTACATCGTTACTATTATTATTATTTTTGGGCTTTGGTTTTATGTTTTGGCTTTTAAGTTTTACATTGGTTTTTTGTCGGTTAAGAGAGACTTTGTCTCCAAGTTTATGCAATTAGGGTTTTCACTTATTTTAGTATAAGTATTAATATTACTGTAACGTGGGCTTTGGTATTTGTCTAATAAAGAGAATTGTTTCTCAAACTTAAGTCTTTGAATCGATCCTTTTCTCAGGAAGAAAACGTGAAATCTAAACATCAATTGTTATCGAAATCCATTGATCTTCGAGAAGCTTTTGATTAAAGTCTTTAAATTCTCTGTTTCTCGAAATCCATTGATACTCGATACAAGAATTCCGAGCTACGAGTGTTTCTTCGTGATCCATTGATACCCGAAGACTATATTCGTATTGTTTCGCTTTAGCTGCTTTATCAATAGCCAAGGACCAGAAGCATATCTAAGATGGGAAAGAGACATAGAAGATTGGTTTTTATCAAACCAAATTCCAGAGGAGGAGAAAACATCTTATGCTAAAGCTACCCTTACTGAAGATGCATTTATGCATTGGGATAAAGAAGAATACATGAGGCTTGAGTTTGATGAACCAGCCTTTTCTTGGGACGACATGAAGAAGTCTATGTATGAAGAATTATTGAGAGATGCTAAAGTCAACAAGCAATACTATGTGAAGATTGATTCAAACCCTATGCCAAGGAGATGGATTCTAGCAACAAGATCAAATCCAGGAGCAAAGGCAAACACTACTCCTTGTCTTGAACCTAAGAGCGTGATGCCCAACCAGGGGCGGATCTATTTGTTAGAAGTTGGGGCACGTGCCCTATACTCACTTCACAAATGTCTTATTGTACCACTATTTCACTAAACTAAATTAGTATACGTTTGATTAATTTTATTAAAGTAGCATACAGTTTTTTGCGTGATAGTCTCTCATTTTTTGTTTGTTTTTTATTTTTTTAATCAAACACCCTATAATAGTATAATCTAATTTTTTCCTTTTCTACTGATATATTTTTTTTTATCTTGTATTTTAATTTTAATTATTTCTCTTTAATTCGTTTCATCAAATAATTTACTACATTAGCTATGAATTTTCGTTTATTTATTTTTAGACTTCTTACATTAATATTAATTTTAAATTTCAGTTTTATTATTTTGTATTTAAAAATTAATTTTTTTTGTATGCATAATATATATTTATAATAAACATATAATACTCCAATTTCTAAATCAGATTATATAAATAATATATATTATGCCACATACAAATTATGGTTCTGGATCCGCCCCTGTGCCCAACTATCAAGAAAAGATGACAACATCTAAGTCAGTGGTACCACCAAATGGCGCTCATCAACCTCCAGGAACACAAGAAGGAGCACAAAAGATAAGTTCAGAACCTCCACTTAAACCAAAAAGCAGAGATACTCAAGGTAAGTTTTCTAAGTCTTTGAAAGAAAATGAACCTACATGTTATAGATGTCATAAGAGAGGAAATTTTGCTGCATTATGTCCTAATAGACAAGTAAAATCAACATCGCTAGAGCCTGAACCGAATTTGTCTAATTCAAGTGATTGCCTAATTAAAACAGATTTAAAATTTTTCAATTCTAGTGTCATGCACTTATGTTTTCCCAAGGTTGTTCATACAAGTATTGATAATATTATGGAGCACACGGCCAAGAGAATATGCCCCAAGGAAGCCAAACACGAGCTGAATGAACCACAAAACTAACATGTTGTGGTAGCCAACAAAAACAAACTCACCAAGGAGCTTAATCAAGTAAGTAGTCATTTGATTCAATCAATATGCAATGATTTTAAGGCTGTGTTAATAAGTTTATTAAATCCAGAAGAGTATGAAGAATATTTATATTCTTTTAAAAACTCTAAGAAGCCAAATCATTTTCTGAAAATAAAAACAAATAGGGAACAAACAACTACCAAAATTCAAACTAATGAATTGTTCCATCCTGAAACTTGTTTACATGTCTATGTTGAATCCATGACTTCTATAATGCACTTGTTTCTTGCCAAAAGTGTTGATAACATTGCAGGTACTATAAGGGCAGAGGGACCAAGAGATTCGAAAGGAACACCAGCTATAGCCACAAGACAAAGTCCCAGTTTTGAGCAACAAGTCTATAAGAAACAAGAAATTGTTTCAACTATTGAAAAGGCAAAGGTTCAATCTAAAATTTCTCCATTTGTTTTTAATAACTCTATGACTGTTTTAATGCACTTGCCTCTTGTCAGAAGTGTAGAGATTTATACAGGAACAAAAGAGATGTACATGACACATGAGCCATCAGAATACCAATATAAACTCCAAGGAGAATCTAAAGGAAAAACCAAATGTGAAGTAGGAGATCTCACAAGGAAGACTGTGTTGCTGCCCAAGGAGAACAGCAACAAACCTTGGAGAGGAGTCATTATTTCGTTTCTGATCAAGGAAGAGCCACCAGATGCAGCGCATCAACTACACCTGAACCATACACCAGACTCTACCCAAGGCAATGTTCTAAACTCTCATTTATTTGAAGATATTAACTTGAATTATCTATATGCAGATAAACAAGTTTTGAGGATAAAACTTTTTGAAGAAGGAGAGTATGATGCAATATTTAGGATAGCATCAACAATGGAGCTGAGGATCAACGGACATGATGGTCTAGCCAAGGGTAAAGGAGAGACGATCTCCCTTGGAGAACATATCATGAATAAATGAGAGACTATTCATGATTTGTTCTTTCTAAACCTTAATCCTTCCGTGCATTCAGACTCAACCTGGACTTAGAGAGCATACTCGACTCACCTAGAGTTCACCACAAAGAAGAATCAGCTAAAAATGAGTCCATATGAAGAAGATATTGAAGATACAAGTTGGCAGATCTTCAATGAACCCGCTGGAGACATGCGACCAGTAATAAAATCATTCCGGCCAAATGACGACGATTCAAGCAACAAAACCAGGATTTTTTGGAAACATAACTCATCAGATAACCGAAGAAAGTTGGATTCATGCCAAAATTCATCATGGTGTGGAAGTTATTCAATTTCTAAGTCAGGTGAACCGGAACATTTCCAAATTGGATATGGGAGCGGTTATTGGAGGTTTTCCACCGAACCATGAGGAATCAAGCTACGAACCGACTTTTTATGCAATCTTGATTCATCAGAAGACCGTGGAGAATTGGATTCACATCATTATCGGTTCTGATGTCAAAGATATTGAATTTCTAAACCGGTTGATGCTACACTTACCTTATTTGGAACTTTCCGAGTTTGGAAGACTTCAGTCATATGTTTGGCGACCAGGAAGGTATCTAATACAACTAGAGCCTCTTATTAACATATCCTGCTTCATTCCCAGCCTTTGTATCAGGAGTATTCAAGCTTGCCAAGCCATACACCAAGACTTTCCATATTTGGCACCAGAATCATTAAGAGACAAGGACCAACTGCTCTATACTTATTTCGTGGGTATTAAGAGAGTTATTAGGAGATTAACAAGCCATGGAATCATTCAGAAGCTGTCAAGATACAAGAGTCCACAATTTTCCTTGTTTGACCAAGCAAATCTTCTCCAACGGCCATATTGTTTAAATGTAGATTATTTGATTCATTTGAGTATTTTTATTACTATTAGCTTTCTTTTATATTGAGCACTATATAAGTTCGTCTAGTCTTTCATTTTAAAGTACCAATAATTTTAGAAATCAATAAAATATTATTCAGTTTACAAAAGTCTTTTCTTTTGTGTTGTTCATTAGAGTCTTAGATGGATTTCTTTACTCTTTTGTTCTTATCTTTAGATCCTAAGTGTGTGAGATACTTTTGGTCTATTGATCTGCAAATTAAGAGTGTTTTGAGTGATTCAGACATTTTTGTTTGTTCATTTGATTGAGTGAGTCGATCAGTTCCACTCCCCCCCTCCCCAATGTCTTCCATGTCAGCCAGCTGAAAGTTGTGTCCTAACGCGCCTACTCTTATCGCTTTGTTACTACCACAATATTGGTTGGATTTTAGTAACTAAAAAAAACATGAGCTTGTGCTTGAGAAGAAGATAGTTAAGCGCGAAAACACTGCCGCTACTAAGATATTGGTTCAATGGAAAAGAGAGCCACCAGAGAATGCAATGTGAGAATTCTGCTAGGATTTTATCGTCAAGATCCTCACTTCCATTTTTGTGGACAAAGATGATGTCAAACCGGGAGTATTGTCACAGGCTTTTCCTGCATTTCTATCTTACGGTTCTTTATCTACATTTAGAATCAGTTTAATATATTTTTTAATAATCCAGTTTGTTATATAGGTTAAGGTATTGCAACAATAATCACGTCCTAATGTACTGACTGTATACTGGGATTTTCTAAAAAGTAATCAAAATCATTATCTTTTAATACCCTTTTTCTCCCTCTTTGTACGCCATTATCATCATTATCATGGATTTTGATGCTTTAAAGTAGTCTTTCTTCTTTTGACCTACTTTTCATGTTTTGATTCAAATCGTACTTGAGATCTAAAAAAGGTTTTTTAGTCGATTATGTATATCTCACACTATTCTATCTATCTCACATAGAAGAGGATGATGGTGAGAAGAATTTTCTAAAAAGAGTAGGCGGAGAAGGCAAACAACGATCCGCAACGGCAAAATCATCAAAAAAAATATGAAATTTAGATTTCCGTTTTCATAATCAATTTTGGAGATGCATGTATAAACACATGTTAAGCCTAAATATTCATGTTAAGCCTAAATATTCTATATGTTGCAATTAGTTAAAAAAAATATATATCAAGACTCTTCTTCAACTTTATTTATAGATATTTACCAAAACAATTATTAGTCATACCAAATTAAAAACAAATGAAAGTAAAATTAGGTTTGAAACAATTATAGGATGGAACCCTTGTTGTATAATTTGATTCTCCGGCTTATCTCTTTGTCCAACTCTTCTTTTCCTCCCACTTCTTCCACTTCCTGCACCATTCCCAAAACTTACAAAGCAAATTAACAAATGTAACTCGCAATTATCACTTGGTTGCTCTTGTTTGTGATTAAAAAAAAAAGGGTTTTAGATTCTTGCCTTGGGTCCAAGAAACAGCCCATATGGTACACCCTTGAATTTGTCTGTGTGGTGTAACTGAAAACAAAATCATCAAATATTGTAAAATCGATATTAATATAAATGTATTAATTATGGAATTAATTAAGAACAAATAAGTAAAGACCGTTAGATTATGTGGTATTAACCTGGTGAGCGGCGGCGACCTTTCGGAGGTAAGGCACGTTGGCAATGGGACCCACAGGGAATCTCTTGTGTACAAGTCCATCGTGGACGAACATGTAGGCGATTCCAAACACCGTTATTCCCAGTCCCTAAACCGAATATAAACCAATCCTCTAAAAAATCATCAAACCCCAAAACGGAAAATGTGGCTAACGAAGCCGGTTTAACCGCAGGTCAACGAATTATATAACTGAACAGAAATTTTCATACTTTCAAATTCGGTAAAATAATTAAAAAATACATATAAATTTCAAAGAGTGAAAGACCAATCATAATTTCTCTGCGGTCTCACATTTAAAGTTTTTAAAGTTTCGGATATTGTCTAAAGAAGAGAAAAAGAGAGAGAGAGAAAGACTTACGGCACCAAAGCAGAGACCAGGAGCAAGTCCTTTGTTGAAGAATCCATAGTAGAGAAGACCAATCGCAGGAACCGCGTTAATTATAGCAAACACATCGTTTAACTCAAACGCTCCTTCTCTAGGTCTGTGATGAGACTATCACAAACAAAAAAACCGAATCAAAACCAATCACAAAGAGAAAGAAGATTTTGATTTGTAGCATTAAACCGGAAAACTCAATCAACCTCATGCATGTTCCATAAAGAAGCATGCCACAGAGCTTTATGTGCCCATCTTGCCCAAAACTCCATCCCAACCTTCAAAATCCAATCAAATTAATACAGTAAAGAGATTACAAAAATGTTAGATGAAATAAAAATACTAGATTTCAATTTTAGACGCAAATTTGTAAAATAAAATTTTACATTTCCAAAAAAAAATCGATTATAAAAAAGAAAATGGAACTTACGGCAGCACCAACGGAGAGAGCAAATGTACCGAACATCTCTGATACAGGAACTTCACCTCCCTAAATCGAAACCAAAATCGAGTTTCACCAACGGAATTTGGACAAAAAATATCGAAAATTCAGAAGACTTTGTGTTTTTTTATTACCTTCATTTGCCAGGAAAATCGGTAGTAAACAGCCATGATAGCCATTGAAGTGATACCGAAGCTCGACATCATAGCCGCGATTAGATAAGTGAATCTCTCTGATTTCTTCCTCTCAGCTTTCTGGAGAAGCCGCGACGTCGTCAAGATCTCGGGAGAGCTCGTGCTTTCCGGTCTGTCTTCCATGGGAGAGCTCTGTTCTCGCTCTTCCACGACGAAACAGAGGGTGAGGACCTTCCATCGTCGAAAGCCGTTGAATCGGAGAGACGGAGGGAAAACGGCGGCGGATGTAGGGTGGTTAAGGCGGGAGGTGGAGGAAGAGAAAGAGCGGTTGAGTGGTTTGAGTGTTACGGCGATTGTTGAGAGTCCTGCCGCCATAGAAGGAGCTCGTAGAGATTTTATGAAAAACTTGAAAATTTGAGATATATAGAGAGAGAAAGGCAATGTCGATGATGATGTGTGGTAAAGCTTAGAGAGACATGAGTTAAAGGCAGAGAGGCCACAATTTTTTGTTTCGGTTGTGTTTTTTTTTGGTTAATTTGGAAATAAATTTCTTGTATTAGTAATACTTTTATATTAGAAGATAATTACAATTTACTTTTATAATAACATTTTTTTTTTTGAAATAGTATGAAAACAAAGGTAGAAAGCAAATCAGATGAAAACAAATTCAAGAAAGTGGACAACAAAGGAACGTTCAAAACATTGGGTAGTGGCTTTTGAGTTTGAGGTAACGAGAGGTGATGGGCCATTTCGAGGATTTTCCCACTCATTGACAGCGAATCACTCCTACTTCTCTTAACTAACTCCACGTGGCATGTTCTTCCACCGATTAGGCCAGGAGTACGACCATCTTCCACGTGTTGAATCCTTATTGGACGATCTGTTCCATCAGATTGCACCATTACACCACTTAAGGTAAACGAGGTAGCTTCTAAAAGTTCTCACCATGTGATGACTTGAAATATTTTTACTATACTACAACTACAAGTGGTTTGAAAACCATTGCTTCAACGTTTGGTGGCTGCGAGTGTCAAATGAGCCAACAAATCTTAAGCCCATAAACATTAAAGGCCGAATAGATCAATTATAATTGGTTTTTGGCATCTGTTTTATTTGGAAATTAAAAAAAAAAAAATTGATGTGGGGATCAATGGCGCTGGCTTTTGGATATGGTAACAATTATTATAGCTTCCAGATAGAACAATAAGCTTCACTATGAGTAAAAAGTCCAAAAATAGAGATTTTTCATCATTTTGGTACGGTTATTAGACATTTTTTTGGTAGACTCAATGATGTTACTAGACTGAAAGGATTTTGGGATTTTTCTAGACGTTCCAGTTCTGTATACATGTATTAGAAACTTACATTTAGTAGTTATAATAGTTCAGCGTAAGCCTCTCTCTAACATTACAGGTGTGTCGAGAAATATATATATATTTGGAAGCAAGGATGAAGGATCAGACAAATATGATTCATCATATTTTTTTAAGAAAATCGTATTACGTAACCGCTGGTGACTTTGGTTCTCAAGATCTGTTTCAAGTATGCTACTCCAAAATATGGTTTTCTTTTGATGATCAATAATAAACTCTCTACATCTCCCAAAGTGGCTAATTAAGCAATTAGGGCTCAAAGCATCTCTTCAACTTGTGTACACTCTTCTAATCACTTTGAATTTCGAAACCATCTGATTTTTTTTAGTTATTTGTCTTTTCCTGAAGGAATTTTGAAAAAAACAAACATTGCATTAAGAATCTACAGAACAAGTTACATGAAATGATACACCATGTTTGTTTCTTCTTTCCAAAGTTTCATCTATTATACATCGATAAAACAAACTCGTTGTATATCATTTCAATGACAAAACGATTCGTGATAAACTTATTTGTATTTCAAATTGACTCAAAAGTTGGACATTTAATTGCAACCTATTTTTTTACAAAACCAATAGGTGGTGGTCTAGTGGTTTCCATTTGAGGAGGAGTTGCCATGTTGGTCAAGGCCAGAGATCGATTTCCCTTAAATTAATCTCATTTGGCCACATAGATATGAGCCCATATTTTCGGTCTATTTAAATATCCAAAGAAAAGGTCTATCTATGGGCTGCACCTCTTCCAGAGGATTAGTCTGGACCTTTTCATAGGTATGAAATGTATCCTGAATTATAAAAAAAAAAAACCTATTTTTTTACAAAGTAGTTTAACACTACCACAAGAACAAAATTATCTATTCATTATCCGTTGACCGAATTAATATGGTATGCTGCTAAATCACAGTTTCAAAGTTGAAACTTTAAACCGACTTTAAACCAAGATTAATCTATTCATTACAAAAATAAGATATATTTTTTTTGGTCTAATACAAAAATAAGAATTGCAATTTTCACCCTGTGTATTGAAAGCCTTTTTATCTGCAACTTGCAGAAAAATACACACACGTAATAGAATATTCTCAACGCGCCTGTAGCTTCTTCCTTTTTTACTTCGTCACGAGGGTAATCGATCTCTTCTTCTCTCCTCTCTCTCTCTCTCTCTCTCTCTCTCTTCGTGAAATCAATGAGTATGGAGGCATCGGAGCTACATGATCTCTCTGACGACGCCGATTACGCTGCATCTCAACAACAAGTTTGCTATCCTCTGACTCCTCGTTTTTCCATTTCCGTTTTCGCAATTTGTTGTTTTTTGTTCAAGTCAATCGAAATCGCTTTGAATCTGCCTTGCGAATTTGTATTCCTTCTCTATCTCTTTCGCTTTTCGATCTCCAAGTTTGGATTGATCGTTCGATTTTGTTTCCTGATTTGTTTCAGGGATCGGCTAGCATGATGCGCTGCGACAGCGAGAAGAGAAGTTCTTCTAGTGAACACGAAGGCGCTGAATTGATATATTTGAAGGATAACGTCGCAATTCATCCCACACAGTTCGCATCGGAGCGGATTAGCGGTAGATTGAAGTTAACTAAGCAAGATTCTATTCTCTTCCTGGTAATCACTGCAACTCTGTTTCCTTCCTTTGATTTTGTTTGGAGATGATCCGAGAATCAGGAGGACGAATTTGATTGCTTGATGTATCAGTCGCTTACTTGAGAATATTCTGCTTCTATTTTCTTATTCCTGCATTTGATATATTCGGGTGGTTTTTTTGGCTAGTCGTGGATTCCGTACAAGGGACAAACCTCAAATGCAAAGCTATCAGAGAAAGGTAATCATGATTCGTTGAACTAAATTAGTATACGGTGGTGTTAAAGAATATGCATTAACTTTGTTTTTAGTCTCTCTATCTTTTCTAGATAGGAGTCTTTATACGATCACAGCAGTTCCATTCACTGAAGTGAGGTCCATCAGGAGACACACTCCTGCTCTCGGATGGCAGTATGTAATTGTTGTGCTGTCTTCTGGTAAGCAAAACCTTTGACTCTTGCTTTTGTTTGAGATGAATATCTTGAATCGCTATTTGGAATGATCAATTGCATCAACAATGTAACTAAAAGGGTTTAGTCGACATCTGTATTGGTTTTATGACTGAGTAAAATAGTAATCTTCTCTCACTAGTTAAGGTATTCGGAATTAAAATTAGCAAAATCATCTGTGAAATGAGTGGTGAAAATCTGTGGCCTTCGTATTGGGTTTTGGCACTGGTAAAGTTATTTAGAAACTGTTTAATCATTTAAAATGACCTGCAGGTCTTGCATTTCCGCCTCTGTACTTCTATAATGGAGGAGTCAGGGAGTTTCTGGCCTTAGTGAAGCAACATGTTTATCTTGCAAGGTTTGTGTCTGATTTGAAATCTTTTTCTTTTTGTCTCTGGCAAAGTGTTATGCATGTCTTTATATCTGTGAAGTTACTGTATAAAAGTAGTTTAGGGATGCACAATGTATTGTTACTTTCAGTCGGCTTTTATTTTACTTGCTGATGGGGGAGACCTGATATGAGAATTTGTGGACTACCAAAGTTTATCATCGTATGGAATTGGATGAGTCGTTAGATAGCTATGCCACGAATAATATAAACTTACATAAACTTAGCTTTTTATAGATCGGGAGAAGATGCAAATGTGTTCCTTGTGAACGATTTTCAGAGTCCCTTGCAGGTAACTATATCAAATCATCTTATGTTGGGTTGAGTGATGATTTTGGTTTATCTTGTGGGCTAATATATTATATGATTATATCCGACAGAGAACTCTTTCTTCATTGGAGCTGCCAAGTTCACTGCCTGTTGCAAGTGGACAATCTACATACCCATTAGACGGAGGATCTTCTAGTGATAGTCAAGGGAGAACAAGTGCAGGTGTTGATAACAGAGTTTCCCAGTATGTATCGAGAAAGCAGAAGAGTCATGATCCTACTCGTGATCTTTCAATTCATCTTCTAGAGAAGTTTTCTCTGGTTACTAAGTTTGCTCGAGATACAACCACTCAGTTGTTTTCTGAAAACAATGGCTTTGGTTCCGTTGACAAGAGATGGAATAACCAACCCGTGCATAGTTATTCTGAAAAGTTGACAAATATTGCCGAGGAAAAAGATAATGAAAACCATCATAGTTACCCTGAAAAGGAGCATCTCAACGATGAAGAAATTAATCTAGTTGATGTCCCTGCTGATCCCTTAGAGGTGAGTATCGTTTTCCTATTATCCTTTTTTGTTTGTTTCGTATATTGTGAGAATTGCTGTGCGTCATGATACAACGTCTAGGTTTCTGTTGTCTTTTGGATAGTTTGTCACTTAACTTAAATGTGTGGGCTGGAAGTTATACTATTGAAATCTGAAATTGTCTATGATATAGATTGGATACCTTATTAAAAAGCACCACGAAATTTTAGTTATCCTGCTGGGCATAATTCGATCTATAGAGATTTTCCATGGGTAAACTTATGCATGCATTTCAGTTGTTTGGAACACTACCTAGATACCAGTGACTAGTTAGTAACTGCAGTTGTAATTGTTCTTGTTAAGTTTGTTGGAAACGCAGCTCTAAAAGTTCATTTTCATTCTGGGAAATCAATTTGTAAATTTAGGCATGTTAAACGCTCAGCTTTTGTTAATAATCACTTCTGCAATATATGTGTATGTTTCACCTTGTATAGCAATATAAACGTTTTCGGATGGAATGCTTTCTATGCTTCATTAATACCAAGTATCTGGAACTGATAACTGACCACTTGTAGTGCTGCTTACATGTAAAATATGGAACTTATGAATTTGTTATATGTAACTGTTCCTCCTTTTGCAGTTTAACAAGTTGAGTTTGGTGTGGGGAAAACCAAGGCAGCCACCAATGGGGTCTAAAGAGGTAAACACTTTCGAATTCTGCAATTTTTCGTAGTCCGGAAAGTGTAGAGAGGACTTTCTTTTTAAATTCTGCATTGTGGTGATGTTTAAAATATTCACTAAGTTCTATATTATTTTCATCTTTGTTTATATTCAAACTTTTTGGGGGCTTTCAGTTAACAGCATTCTTGGATTCTGAAGGGCGAGTTGTGGAATCAAAAGCCCTTAGAGAGAGAGTTTTCTATGGAGGCATTGAGCATCAATTGCGAAAAGAGGTTAAATTTTCTATTTCCGATATATTTTAAATTTTAAATTTATATGCAGATTGATATTGAACTTAGAATCACCATTACAGGTCTGGCCCTTTCTCTTGGGATATTATGCATATGACTCGACATATGCAGAGAGAGAATATCTTCGATCTGTCAAACGGATGGAATATGCAACATTGAAACAGCAGTGGCAGGTTTGTTCATCATCATATCACATCTTTTCTAGATTCCTTAATTGGCTATGTAGTTCTTTGGTTAAATAAATTGGTTATTTCCCTCATGTTCATTGCACTAACAAGTATTTATTCTTTTTGACAGAGCATCTCCCCTGAACAAGCAAAAAGGTTCACCAAATACCGGGAGAGGAAGGGACTGATAGATAAAGATGTGGTAAGAAGAGTGAAGATATCGTTTTATGCATGTGGTGTGCTCTATTCATCTAATTCCCTATTGAGCTTAAGTTCCTGGTTTGTTTCTTATTGTGTAGGTAAGAACTGACAGGGCATTTGAATACTATGAAGGGGATGACAATCTGAACGTCAATAGCATGCGTGATATTCTGTTGACCTACTCCTTCTACAACTTTGATCTCGGTTACTGCCAGGTACTCATCAGTTTTTCAGATTTCATTATTAACACTTAATTAAAAGTTAGCGGTTCCATTACTGTTATGTTTTCATAATTTGTGTTGGTGCCCCCCCTTATCGTGTATAAGCAGGGACACTTTCTATTTTTGGTTTTGCTTTGAATTTCTCTCACTCTGTTGCTGAACCTACAAGTGTTTTTCTGGTTATTAGGGAATGAGTGATTATCTGTCTCCTATCTTGTTCGTGATGGGGGATGAATCAGAATCCTTTTGGTGTTTTGTGGCATTGATGGAACGCCTTGGACCCAACTTTAACCGTGATCAGAATGGGATGCATACTCAGCTCTTTGCACTCTCAAAGGTCTATAATTTTTTTTCGAGAAACACTACAATTTACGTTTAGCACTTTATATATTGAAATCTGAATCTGAAGCCTTTTCATGTTCATTTTCACCGTCCCACAGCTGGTGGAGTTGCTCGATAGCCCGCTGCACAATTACTTTAAGCAGAATGACTGCTTGAATTACTTCTTCTGTTTCCGCTGGATCCTGATTCAGTTTAAAAGGTTAGTTTCTTCTTTTCTGCCTCTTTCAGTTTCAAACTACCTGAAACCCAGTTCAGTCACGCTTTGAATGTGAACGAGGAGATATTGTAAGTTCTTTGGCTGTGTTGTATTTGATTATGGTGGCAACGTACATGTCTCAGGGAGTTTGAGTACGAGAAGACAATGCAGCTATGGGAGGTGTTATGGACCCAGTACCTCACGGAACACCTTCACCTATATGTTTGTGTGGCGATCCTGAAGCGATGCCGCAGCAAGATAATGGGAGAACAGATGGATTTCGACACACTCTTAAAGTTCATCAACGAGCTGTCTGGGCATATTGACCTCGATTCGACAGTCAGAGACGCCGAAGCACTTTGCATATGTGCCGGTGAAAATGGTGCTGCTAGTATCCCTCCAGGAACACCTCCTTCATTACCCCTTGACGAAGGTGTCTTATATCCTCAGGACGATGATGTTTTGTAAGTAGTACAAACTTTTCCTTTTTTTCTTTCAGTACATGATACCAAAATTCGGATTTCTTTTTTACGTAACAGTTATTAAAAAATCAATGAACATATATGCTTTCTTGGTTTCTTCATCACTTGATACCTCTGTAGTCGAAAATAGTTGATGAAAGGTAAGAATAGAGGATCCTTAATGTTACAGTTTCATGATTAATTCTTGCGTAGACTATGTTCCTCAAATGTTAATTATATAACTAAAAGCAAAACATGATTCGCAAAGTCTATGCAAGAATTTATCCCTGGAGATAAATCAAAAGGAAGTTCTACAGCAGTGGAAAGAAATCGGTTAAGGCAAAACATGGGTCAAACACAAGATTGTCATAGCCAAAGCAGTTTGTCTCCTCCATCCAGGTAGTGCCTTCTTCTTCTCCTTCTCCGTGGCTTCTTCTCGCTTCTGTAGACATAACTGGCTTATCGGCCAAAGGAGCGGCTTCGACTGATTCAGGTGCATTCTGTTTCCTGGAATTGGATTTCTTGTTTAAATGTGTATTCCAGTAGTTCTTGACTTCGTTGTCAGTGCGACCTGGAAGACGACCAGCGATCAACGACCATCTGCTACAAAAGAAGTAGTTAATATTCAAGAAAGTGATGAAAAGGAGAATCACTGGTAAAAAAAAATTTGAAAGAGGAAGAACCTGTTTCCGAGAAGCTTATGCATGCGGATGATGAGGTCTTGTTCTTGAGGTGACATGCCTCCTCTTTTGATATTTGGTCTCAGATAATTCTTCCATCTCAACCTACAGCTTTTCCCTCCTCTCTTCAATCCTAAACACAAAAACAAATGTAATTCCTCAAAACTCCAACTTTCTGGTTTCTTTGGAGTAAATGAAACAAACTCACTACTATATGTGGGAAATATTTTGGGTTCGGACCGGATCTACGAGAGATGTCTGCCCAGTTTCCTTCTCCATGAGTCTCGATATAGCTTCTCAATATCATGTCTTCTTCAGGTTTCCACAACCCTCTTTTCACATGAGACTTGCCTTCTTCTTCGTCTCTCCTTTTCTCCATTCTTTTTTCTTCTTCTTTTGCCTCCACCACAGTTTTTGCAAGTGAGACAGGCGTGTTTGTTATAATATGCGAATAAAGTGGGAGTTTTTCCCAACTTTAACTCTTACATGTGGGGGCTATCTAAACGAAATTATTGAGTGGAAAAAGAGTACTTTTCAAACAGTAAAATTACTGTAAATTCGTGCAAACTATAGCTGTAAAAGCTCTGCTTCATTTGTTTTTATCCTCAGAATTGTTACAAATTATTGGCGCTTTTGGGCAAACATATTAACCAAGGCAGATCAGAGGTTGGAGATTGCCATCAACCTCGATACCTGCGTATAACTCCATTACCACTTACTCTCTTTCTCCATCACTGTGATGTTTTATTCCTTTGCTCTATACAAAAATACCTATAATTCTAACATGTTCTAAGTTGTTTTATACAAATAAGTAATATATTTTTCAACTTTTTTTTCTTCTTATACTTGCAAAGAAACTGAATACCTCACAAATACAACTTGTGCGTTTACAGTTGTTGCACTTCAAACAGTTCTTGCTCAAAAAGATTAAATGACGTGCAGTTTTCAATGTTTTGCTCAGAATGGTTTTTCGGATGTGTACGCGACTAGTGCATAATGTATAACAAATTGATATCCAAATGCGACACCAAACCTAGCTATTGCCTTACAGACGACCTCGCTAGTATCTCGAGGATGATGTCAACCGGGAGGGGATCCGAGTTTTCTTCATGTGTTGGTTCTCTAATTTAGGGTTTTATCTCTCTCTTAAAAAAAAAAAAAAAAGAATGGAGTTAGGAAATTTTGAAAGCAAAATATGTAAACGAGTTAGGAATAGTTAAGGGACATGTACATATGGGTTTTGGCACAAAACTTTTAACAACAGAAATTCTTTAACAAAATCTAAACCCCCACATCTAATCAAATTGCAATACATATATGTAACAGATTTAGAAAACATGCATAACAAATATATAAAATTTGTTAAGGTGAACCAGTACCAGTACCAGTTCTTTTTGATTGGAGTGTCCACTGTTACGAAGAAGACATAATATCCTTGCAATAGCCGTAATACTCACTCGGGTTTGGAGTCTCTCCCAACAAAGGAGAGAGTTTGACCGGAGATGACGATCCGGAGTTTGATTGCGGTGCATAAGATGCATTGGTTCATCTCTTAACTGCATTGCTGTGGAAAGAACCACCATGGAAACCATCAGAAAAGATACAATGTGTCGATATCAAAGATGCGTCAGGTTTGTTTGTATGGCAATAGTTTTACAATCGTTAAAGCAGGTTCGCAGTATATAATTTTTTTTCTACAGAAAGAATCAATATATTGGATTAATATCTTTAGATGTAAATTGAAAATTGGTCAATTTTATACAACAAATAAAAATGGTCAATATGGTTATATGCATAACCAAAGATGAAAAGTATTGCTAAGTTTTGTTTTATTGTTCTTTTCACAATCATGTATTGTATTTGTATTATTTTGCAAGTTAAATGTAATCTTGAATATATTATATAAATAAAAATAGATGTTACAAAAAAACAAATATATAAATTTTGTGATATTTTTAATAATATCGAGCATAACTACATGATTTAAAAACATAGTAGTTCTAAAAAAATAGTATATATTGTTAGCATATAAAAGCATTTTCATCGGTAATATCTTAAAGTATCTCCATCTGTGGCATGTACTACGAATATCTTAACTTAAAAGAAATATATATATATATATACTATTATTTGAGAAGTAGATTTCTTACGTGTCGCTCCCACGTTCGCTCTCATCATACTTTAGTCATCGTTTTTTTCCAATTATATCCTTAATGAAAACTGTAATCTAATTCTTGGTTTAGTGTTATTTGCAGTTTATTAAATTGATTGATTGGTTAGTTTGGATAAAGATAATCTGATTTTAATATAATCACTTTTTAATAATAATTATGATGATAAGATCAAATCTATGTTTATGGGAAGCAAATATTTCTAAATTCAATATTAGATATATCTTCAATTATTAAATAAGTTAGGTATTAACCAAAAAGGAATATTCGTTTGTTCGTTGATCTTAAATATTATCAAAATAGAAATAAATTTAATGTATTTGCCAAAATCTTATGCAAATATTTTTCGAGATTTTTATATTTACTTTTTGATATACTGAATTCAATACCAACCTATATCTATACTATATCTTTCGAATTTAAATTTAAATATATTAAATTTTTACGGCAGATATCAATAATTAATAGAAAACCTAATAGTATATGAATAGAAACCCTAATACTAAAACCTAATACATGGGGCTATATATATTGATGGCGTATCATGGTACCATCTCGCCTCTCTCCCTATTGTTTTAGACAAGTTTTTTGTTTGTTTGGTTGGACTATTGTTTTCTAATATGTTTTTGATCTCGCTACCGTCGGTGTTCTAGATGTTTCGGCACATGGAATAGTAGGCACTAGACAAGGAAAAAATGAGACAAATACAAAGGTTACTTTGTACGGTTTGTTTTTGACTGAATTATATATGTCGTGATATTTTGTTTCGATTATTTTTATAATCTTTTCTTTGATCGCTCTTCAAACAATTTTTGGTGTATAGATGGTCAAGAGAATATCATGCACCGGTGTAATCTGTAACGTGTAAACCCATCTATTGTTTTCAGTCGGGTTTTTTTGTTTGTTTCCTTGGAATAGCGTTTTCTAATATATATGTTTTGATGTTTGTGTAGGTGATCATTTTTGTTCTATATGCTTCAGTACATGGGACAAGGGGCACGGGTTTAACACACGCGAGCCAAAGAAAAAAAGAAATAAATAAAAAGTGAGTTTGTATGGTTTGATTCTTTACGAATTAAATATTAAACATGTCATGATGTTTTTGTTCGATTATTTTTATAATCTTTCATCTGATCGTTCTCCAAACATTTTTTTTGGCGTATAGATTGTCAGTAGAATATCATGCATTTGTGTAATCTGTAATGTAACCTCTTCCCTTTTTTTCTTATTGTTTTTGTTCGTTTTTTATTATTAGGTTTTTTATTTACATATCTTACTAAGCTAATTAATTTGTGGTTGTCTTCTCTATATTTATTTCTTATAGGATTAAAATTAGGGGTGGGCATTTTACCCGGATCCGAAAATCCGATCCGGATCCGATCCAAAAATATCTGATCCGAACCGATCCGGATTCCACACAATATCTGATCGGGAGCATTCTTCTTTGTACTTCGGGTACCGGGTAATACCCGATCTGATCCGAAATACCCGAGTATCCGATCCAAATCTTCTTACCTTATTTTCCAACGATAACACATCACTCAATCCTGATTTTGAAGCCAAAAACATAGAAAATATCCATTCACTCAATCATGATGAGTATCCATTTTCCATATCCCAAAATTTGGAATCATTTAATTTTTTCTATGCAGCCTATGTTCCTTCCGAGACATCAAAAAATCAATTTCGGTCTCAGATATGGAATTTCTCACACTCCATCAGAGTATATCGATTTCTTCTTATGTATATGTTTGGTGCTTTTAGTTTTAATCTTTTCCTTTGTGTCGATTTACTGTTTTTTTAACTCTGAAATTTATTGTTTCTCTTAATTAACAATTCAAGTTTGTCTCTTTAATCTTTGTTTCTGGGTTTTTGCAACAAAGATTTAATAATAGTATGATGAAGAAGAAGCATGAATTATTCAGAAAACATAGCAGTTGTTCAACTATTGTTTGTATGTGTGTGTTTGTATTTACTTATTTCAGGATCGATACAAGTTTGAGTATCCATACAAATTCATTTTGAGAATGGATACAAGTTTGCATTTACTAATTCCAAATAATAATTGCTCAGCAAATTGATGTTTGAAGTTGTTATTATTTGCATTGTTAAATTAAAAATTATACATAAGTGTAAGAGCTTTTTGTAAACCTTTTTGAATTTCTGCAGTTTGCAGAAATATCAAGTGAAGAAGAAGATATCAAGAAGTTATTTACGTTTAGTTTTATTTTTCCACTTTCTTTCTTTCTTTTGATGTTTAGTTTTGTTTGCAGTGTTTTCAAAATTCAGCTATTTCGTTATTACTTTGAAGTATTTCGGTTACTTTTGGATAAAAATACTTGAATCCAAATTGGATCTGAAAAAAATTGGATCCGAAATATAATATCCGAACCGATCCAAATCCGGAGAGATCCGAACCGAATCCGATCCGAATTTTAAAAATACCTGATCGGTACTAAAAATTATAGTTTTGAAATACCCATAATCCGAAATACTCGATCCGATCCGATCCGATAACCCGAACGCCCACCCCTAATTAAAATGTTGTAGTGTGTTTGTGCTAGCATACAACTATACATCTGGTAAGATAGCTCATTTACTCTTAGATTTTAGTTTTCAGATGGTTTGCCTTGTGTTTATACAAATTCTATCTTCTTTTGCATTTTCGGGTTCAGTTTTTCACCGTAACGTTTTACTGGACAATCAGTGCGAAGGATTGGTTTGTATATGGTATGTTTTTGTCGTAAAGTTTCTTGATGTTTTCTATTGTATGTTGTTACATTATGTTTGTTTCAGGTCTTGGTACATTGGGTCTACTACGCTTATGCGAGTTATATTCATTTCTATGTGGTTTTTCCCAAATCTTTTCTGTTTTTCGATATATAAGGTTAATTAATGATCGAGTGGTTTAGATAAAACAGGATTTGATTTTATTTTAGTGTTTTTGTTTGTGACTGTGTTATGGTTTTGTTTATCATGTTCTCAATATAATAATATATTTCTGTGAATATATGTAGTTGTATGGATATCAGGTTTTTGATTGGTCTTTTATGTTCTTTGGTTTGATTTAGGGTTTTGTTTGTACCTTTTTGATATTTCACTTAGTTTTTGGGAGTGTTTGGGTTTTGTTGTTCGATGATGCCATATCTTTGTTTTTAAAAATACGAAGTTGTATACATCACCAATAATGGAGTCTGTGTTTTTTTTTTTTGTTATTTGAAAAAATGTATAGTGTGTACGTGACCGACAACAGACTTTTTGATTTCTTTTACAGATTTGATGTTTGGTGATGGTTGTCGTGGATGCTCTACAAAGAGACTCGATAGTGTGTCTTATGTTTAAAGAAACGTTCGAACTTTTTGGATTCAGCAAGCTCCACCCGAATATGGAAAGACTTAATATTTTTTATTTTGATGAATAAGTTGGATTCCCTATATTATGCTAAGGCAAAAGTGATGATCAATGTTTTTTTGAGTAGCAGATTAATATGTTGCGGGTGGAGAACAAGCTTTTGAAGAAGAAGAAAAATAACAACAAT